AAAGGTATGAACATAATTTAAATTAAGTTTTTTATGTAAATCGAATATAATAAACTTTCATGATGAAAAAATGCAAAATCAAATTTTGGATGCCAAATTTTAAGGCTTGAATTTTGTCTGAAATTTAGGAATTAAAATAAAAGATAATTTTTTATTAGCATCATCAAACTAACGACATTCAACGTTTAATAATCAAACCTTAATTATAAAACGATGGCATAAGCGATTATAATTACTAATTTTTGTTATCCTCAATCATTATTATCACGTAAAATCATGGTTTTTGATGATTTGATCCCTTTACGATCATTTCCTTGACTATCATTATTAGTTCAAATTATGTTTTTGATCCCTCTACAATGCTCAAATTTGGGATTTAGTTATTATTTCAGTTAACTGTCTTATAATGTCATTAGTTAATTCAAATAATTTAAACTTATTATTCTGACTAAAGGATAAAATGAAGTTTTTGTAATAGTGTATTTAATTATGTGTATGGACATTATTTCAATCATCTGATGATTGTATGTTTAAAGGTTTTATTTGAATATTTGAAAAAGATTAATCTTTAAATAATGCGAGATTTGAAAATATCTAATTAAAATTATTGATTTGAATAGTTAAAGACATATTCTGAACTTGATTAGACTCGAGATGTTAATTTAGAAATTAAAATAAAATAAATGTTAAATTAAAAAATTATTTTTAGTGTTATTTAGGTAAAAATGCCCTTTTAACTAGCTTTTGACTTTTCATCAAATGTCTACAAACATCCATATTGAGTTGAACTTTTAGTTAATTTTAGATAGATTTTGGAACTTCTAGATTTAGTTTTAGTGATATTTCGGTTAAATATTTTAAATATATATTAATATATAAAATATATGTCATATATTTAAATAAATTAATTAACCGATTAATTTTAAGTTGATATATAATCACGTCGTATTAATTTTTTTATAATTTTATATAATTTATTTAATTAAAAAACCGACTATACCTTAAACCTAAACAGTATTTAATCCATAAAGAAATGGATTAAATTCTTTATTAAAAAGGTTTCCTTTATGAACGCAGCCTCACTTTTGCAGAGTAGCTTCGGTTCTGCCCAATTTGTCAAAGTCAAAGGTTGAAGTTCGCCGGCACCCAATTTGTAACCACCACGGTGACAAAAAGTTTCTTATCGTTATCCGATAAATTTCGATTAGATTTGATAAAATTATATATATTTTTTAAAAAAAAATTGAATTTGGCATTAGATTTTATATTGATATATCTAATAATAACTCATTCGACTAGACTTAGAGTTTGTTCGTTAAATGTAGGCACATTAAATGCTAGGCTGCTGAGCTGACCGACGTACTTAGTAATAGGAAAATAGATTTTGCATGTATTCAGGAGACTAGGTGGATATATCTAATAATAACTCATTCGACTAGACTTAGAGTTTGTTCGTTAAATGTAGGCACATTAAATGCTAGGCTGCTGGAGCTGACCGACGTACTTAGTAATAGGAAAATAGATTTTGCATGTATTCAGGAGACTAGGTGGAAAGGGGCTCGCGCCAGAGAGTGTAATGGGTACAAGTTGTGGTATTCAGGAGTAGATAACGCTAGAAATGGGGTGGGTATCTTGGTATCCTCTAGTCTCAAGGAAAATGTTGTTGAAGTTTGTAGATACCGGGATAGGATCATGATGATTAAGGTTATTATAGAAGCGGAAGTGGTGAATGTCCTTTCAGTGTACGCTCCACACGTTGGCCTAGGGGAGGGGAGAAACGTTGCTTCTGGGATCAGTTAGATATTGTACTTAGGAGCATCCCGGAGGACCAAAGAGTTTTCATAGGGGGAGACTTCAATGGCCATATAGGTAGTGCAATCGACGGGTATGACGGTGTTCATGGGGGTTTCGGTTATGGTAACAGGAATGATGAGGGGCGTACGTTGCTTGATTTTGCTACTGCTCACGTTAGTGATCACTAACTCCTTATTTAATAAAAGAGATGCGAACTTGATTACGTTTCACAGTGGGGGACATTGTACCCAAATCGACTACATCTTGGTTAGAAATCGGGAACGATGGGCTTGCATTGACTGTAAGGTGTTCCCTGAAGAGGCATGTGCATCACAACACAAATTGTTGGTTTTGGTGTTCCGCGTACCCAACGGGCGGAGCACGCATAGGAGGGCTAAACTGGGTAAACCTAGGATCCTCTGGAAGAACTTACATGGAGCGACAACTGATGACTTTAGGAGTAAGCTTTTGTCTAATACAGGTTTTGAAACTACAAACTCAAATAACGCAGATATGTTATGGAAAAATATGGCAAATTCCATCAGAGAGGTGGGCAAAAAAACCCTTGGGTTGTCGACGGGGAAGGCCAAGGTACATAAAGAATCGTGGTGGTGGAACGACGAAGTCCAAACTAAGGTGAAGACAAAACAAACTTGCTTCAAGGAGTTTCTTCAATGCAATGACGACGAAGAAAGGTCGGGAGCTAAACAAAGATACCAGGAGGCAAAGCGGGAAGCCAAGAAAACGGTAGCTAAAGCAAAGGATAAGGCATATGAGGAAATGTACAAGAGATTAGACACTAAGGAAGGACAAAATGGCATATTCAGACTTGCAAAATCTAGGGAGACTAGGAAAAAAGATCTAGGTAACATTAGGTTAATTAAGGACAACAATGGTGTTCTTTTAACGAAAGAACAGGATATTAAGAAGGTTTGGGGTAGTTACTTCTTTGGCTTATTTAATGACGGTGCCTCTCTATGTAGAGATAATATCGTTGTTGGGTCAGCCGACCATCATACTACGGCCAATGACTGCCCTACAAGTAGGATTGGGTTTGAGGAAGTCAAAATGGCTCTTAGAAAGATGGGAAGGGAGAAAGCTGTCGGTCCTGATCAAATTCCTATCACTGTGTGGTTAGCCTTAGGAGATGAGGGAGTTAAGTGGTTGACCAATATCTTTAATATTATTTTAGAGACTGCCAAGATGCCAGAGGAGTGGAGAGAGTCTACGGTGATACCAATTTATAAAAATAAAGGAGATCCCCAACGTTGTGGTAACTACAGAGGTATTAAACTACTCAGCCATACCATGAAGCTATGGGAAAGGGTGATAGAGGCTAGGTTGAGACAAGTCACTAGGGTTTCGGAAAACCAATTTGGCTTTATGCCAAACAGGTCTACCACGGAGGCGATTCATCTACTTCGACGGCTTATGGAGAAATATAGGGAAAAGTCTAGAGATCTTCACATGGCGTTCATTGACCTTGAGAAGGCTTATGATAGCGTTCCTCGCGATACGATCTGGAAGACTTTGGAAACGAGACGGATACCAACTGCTTATATCCGGACGATTCGTGATATGTACTGTAGATCTACTACTTACGTCAGGACTACAGTTGGCGACACCGAGGCATTCCCGGTGGAAATCGGACTCCACCAGGGGTCGGCTCTTAGCCCTTACATCTTCGCCTTGATTATGGACGACATCTATTGTGCGACACCAGACGGTGTACCTTGGTGTATGCTTTTCGCTGACGACATTGTCTTAGTGGCTGAAACAAATCTGGGTTGAATAGCAGACTGGCTACCTGGAAGACTGCTTTGGAAGAAAAAGGTTTAAGGATCAATATTGAAAAGACAGAGTATTTATGTTCAAACTTCAGTGGGAACCAAAATGATGAAAATGTAGAAGTATGCATAGAAGGACACGTTCTTCCCTCAAAGGATTGTTTCAAGTACTTAGGGTCTATGATACATAAAGATGGGGGTGTAGATGATGACGTTACACACCGTATAAAGGCGGGATGGCTAAAGTGGAGGGCTGCTACTGGAGTTTTGTGTGACAAGAAGGTGCCTCTAAAACTTAAGGGAAAATTTTATAGAATGGCAATAAGACCAGCGCTGTTGTATGGATCAGAATGTTGGGCACCCAAGAAGGATCACGTTAGGAGGATAGAGGCCGCAGAAATGAGAATGCTTCGATGGACATGTGGTAGGACTCTGTGGGATATGACGACAAACTCTGCTATTAGGATGTCCTTAGGGGTGATGTCTGTTTCCGAAAAAATGAGGGAGGGAAGACTACGGTGGTTTGGACACGTCCTTAGGCGACTACCGTCGGATGCGGTCAGGAGGGTAGAGTCGATTACAGTCGACGGTGCCAGAAGGAAAGGACGACCAAGGCGGAAGTGGGATGACTGCTTGAGATCTGATTTGAGGGATTTAGGCCTTACCGAAGACATGACCTATGATAGGAAATTATGGAGGCTTAAGACTAGGGTAGTCGAGTAGTGTGGGTCACATCTATAGGGTGTATCATCTTTGTCTTCTTTTAAATGCATTTGTAGTTATTTCCTTGACTTTTACTTTTTATACTTTTCTGTTATTGGTATTTATGAAATATTAGAACTGGGCTTGCTATCGTTGTCTCATGTGTATCATTCTCATCATGTTTCTGCTGTTAATTTTAGCCGGGTCTTAGGTTTCTGTCTATATGCAGAGACTCTTTCGTAGGGATTATTTGCAGGGATTACTCCCATTACAGAAGCACATATGATATTAATGACTGCATATGAATACTGTTTAGCTATGTATTTATGTAATTATTTATACATGCATTGCATTTTATCTATATTTTTAATTTTCTGACTGCCGGAGGTCTTTCACGGAAGCTATTCTCAACCTGGCGTTGGGGGCAGCCTACTACCCTACCTCCCCCTTACCCCATACATATGGGAATTGGGTTTTGTTGTTGTTGTTGTAATAATAACTCATTCATATATATATATATATATATATATATATATATATAACTTTTGTTGAATAAATTAATGATCCACTCCTCATTATAGTGTGAAAAGGAATAATCAACCCTTGAAATTACAAATCAAATTTGATAGGCGTGCAGGCAACTACAGCCAGATTATTTTCTTTTCATATATAAATACCATATGTTCATCTGTTTTCATATCCCTCCATTTGCCTTGCTTGTTAAGCTAAAACCATGGAAACTACCGAGAAAAGGACTGCGGCCTCGACACCAGCATCTGAAGCGGCGCTGCTGCATCCAGCGGCAGCTTCCGCTAAGTATTCTGCTCTTGATGTTGTTCTTCGGGTGCTGTTGCTTGCTGCTTCCGTAAGTGCTGTGGTGGTGATGGCTACTAGCAAGCAAACCGAGATGGTTCCGGTTCCAGGCTTGCCGCCTAACATTAGGGTGCCTTTCTCAGCCAAGTTCAACCATTCACCTGCTTTCATGTAAGCCTAATTTACGTAATTTTCATCCATACTGAATTACTCTGATTCGAGTTTAATTGTATCGAATATCTGATGAAATTATATTTTAACTCTCATAAAAAAATTATAATTTATGTTCGATTTTAATTTTTGTTTAAATGGAACATAACTTTACATGTCATATATGATATGTATCCGAGTCTAGACTTACTACTATATAACTAAAAAATAAAATATTTTCGACATAGAGATATATAGTTTTGAACGAAGATTTAAAAGATCATATCTCCATATTCATACTTTAATTTTCCTTGTATGCCTTAAAACTCTTTTTTATGTTCGATTATTTTATATATTTGTGCAGATACTTTATTGCAGCATTGTCGCTAACAAGCTTATACGGTATTATTACGACTTTGGCATCAATTTCGGTGTCCCCCAAGACCAAAACCATCTTGCTCGCCTTCGCATTGTTGGATGTGGTAAGCTCACATATATTCCTTTCAAACCTCTTTGATTCTAAATTGTTTTGTTCATTTTAGTTATTTGTTCGAGACATTTTGAGTTTAGACTATTTCGGATTCGAATTAGATGTTTGGATTATTGATTTGCTATGATTAAATTGAGTTAGGGTTAATGATTTGTTATGATTAAATTAAGCCAATTAAATCAGTTCGATGCTAAGCCAATTTTGATCATATGATGCAGGTGTTTGTAGGGATTGTTGCCTCGGCAACCGGCGCAGCTGGGAGTGTCGCTTACATCGGATTAAAGGGTAACAGCCATGTTCGGTGGAACAAAATCTGCAACGTCTACGACAAGTTCTGTCGACACATCGGAAGTGCGGTGGCACTCTCGTTGTTGGCCGCCGTATTGCTGATGTTTCTCAGCATGATCTCCACCTTCACCATTTACAAAAGGATACGTTGATTTTAGAGACAAGGGTCTACGTTTGAGGATGTTGGTATTAGTCTTTTAGACTATATCTATGTGACTCTGTTCATCTTTCGAACTGTAGGAGTAGGAGTAGGAGTAGGAGTAGGAGTAGGAGTAGGAGTAGGAGTAGGAGTAGGAGTAGGAGTAGGAGTAGGAGTAGGAGTAGGAGTAGGAGTAGGAGTAGGAGTAGGCGTAGGAGTAGGCGTAGGAGTAGGAGTAGGAGTAGGAGCTGTTTTGTATGTAAATGATGTCTTAATATTTTTAATTTCTTTTTTATTTGTTACCTTATTTATTTATAATATATTTAAATTATTACATTCATTTGTATAAATCAAATATAATAATTTTTTTTATAATAAAAGAATGTCTGAATTCAAACCCGAACAAAGATATATACTCATTTTAATAGTTCAAAAACCAAAATATGTTACTCGTTATAGTATAAGGATATGCGCAATACTAGGATTGTTCATGGACGATTAACTGTACAAATATAAACAGTCGGTTAACCATTATAACAGTTACGAGATTTTTCTATTCGTAACCTAACTGTTAAGAAGCGGTCGATTAACCATAATAGAAGAATTGTAATTACTTGAATTGATTTAAAATTAATTTTTATATAGAAAATCATTTTATACATAAAAGTATTATATATGAGTTATTAATTATTTTTTTAAAATTAATTTTTTTTAGAAATATTTATGAGAAAAAATTAAAATTTTATCAAATAATGTTTGAAAGTCATAAAAAAGTTATTTTATTAAAATAAAATATAAAATTTTAAAAATCAAAATTAATATAAAAAATCAAAAATCAAAATTAATTTAACCGAAAATCAAAATACTATTTTAGAAATTTATCAAATCAAACCATACACACCCCTAACGATTATCTTGTAGGCAAATCTTTTAATAGTGAAATACATTCCAACAATTTCTCTAAAATAAAACTAAATTAAGCTAATTTGTTCTAAAATTGGGTATCATACCGTCTTTATAAACAAATGTGAATTTCAATGTCCCTATTAAGCTAAGTTCAATCATGGGGTTGTCCAACATGAAGATGTGGTTGATTTGCTTGGCCATAATCAGCACGGTGGTGATCGGAGGCGGTGTGGCTGCACCACAAGGTGTTAGGTTCATTCACCCTGCAGTCCTTGATCGTTGTAAGTGGCCCGGCGGTCCGCACCCGGGATGTCATCCAAACCCAAATGGTCCTCCCCAACAAGCAAATCCCTACAACCGCGGATGCTCGAGACACCACAGATGCCGCCACTGAATGACAACCGAAAGAATAATTGAAAAAATTATGATTGAAAGCTTCGTTCAATAAAAAACTCGTGCTATTGTATTGTTAAATGATTAATATGAATAATTTGTGTAATGATTAATTATTAAATAATTAATACGAATATGTTTTAAAAAAAATAATACGAATATTCTAGGATATATCTTCCCATGTTGAATATATATATGCTATCAAGAAGATTGGAAATTGATTAAATAATTAGTGGATAATATTTAGGGACACTGAGTATTGTGAAAAAACGTCATCCTTCATAGAAAATTAAGTTGACTTTGAGGACAAATTTATTATTTATATTCACAATGAATAACTTTACCTAATTAAAATTTTCCATTATGAATAATTTTATCTCCTTAATATTTAATCTTACTCGGTCACTTGAGATTATCTTACTTTTATTTAATTTAATTATGATATTAAACCAAACGACATTAATGAATTTTGTTAATTTAAACATTCCATAAGTTATTATATTATCTTTATGATGAATCATCAATTTTATTTTCATCATCTAATATCTTTATCGTAACCTGAATATTATTTGAATTAATGAAAGAGATATATTGTTGGCCTTTACGTCTTTCACTAGCTATGCAACTTGAACATTATTGTGAAAGGCTATATCTTTACTCTAATAATACAAGAATAACATTATCAAATTATAAGAATTAAAAATAATTAAATTTTATATATACTAAACGTCCTTTTCAAAAAAATAAAAAATAAATTTGATTATATGAAGAAAAAAATCTATAACCTACATATAGTACAATGACTAACGACAGAATTCAACTTAATAAATTTAACTACTATAGTTTAAATTAGGATCAAAATTTCAACAACAAAAAAGTTCTAAAACACTAATTTTGTAACTTACACAAAGGACAATGACTAATATGAAATTTGACCCTTTTTTTTAGGAAAAAAGGATCCCACAAGTTTGTCACGTGGCAATCATGTGGACCGTGATATTCATCATGTGATATATTCTTATTCAACGGATGCATTTACAAGAATAAAAAAAATAATACAAGATAACGACAGACGGAACAAAAGAATGAAATGAAGCAAGATCTCAATGTATCCACCCTACTCTGTATTTATTTCTAAAATTTCAAATATGATTTTTTTTAAACAATTTTAGTTTAGTTTTATATTTTTCATTATAATATATTAAATAATAATTTAAATATAAATAAAATATTTAAATATTTTTATAATTTCTATTTAAGTCTTTCGTTTGATTAAAGCAAAGGATAAAGCATACGAGGAAATGTACAAGAGATTAGATACCAAGGAAGGAAAAAACGGCATCTTCAGGCTTGCAAAATCCAGGGAGAATAGGAAAAAGGATCTAGGTAGCATTAGGTTTTTAAGGACAACAATGGTGTTCTTTTAGTGAAAGATCATGATATAAAGAGGGTTTGGAGTAGTTACTTCTATGGCTTATTTAATGACGGTGCCTCTCCCTGTAGAGATAGTACCGTTGATGGGTCAGTCGATCATCATACTACGGCCAATAATTGCCCTACTTGTACGGTTGGGAGTGAGGAAGTCAAAATGGCTCTTAGAAAGATGGGGAGGGACAAAGCTGTTGGTCCAGATCAAATTCTTATCACTGTGTGGCTGGCCCTAGGAGAAGAGGGAGTAAAGTGGTTGACCAACATCTTTAATATTATTTTAGAGAATGCCAAGATGCCAGAGGAGTGAAGAGAGTCTACGGTGATACCAATCTATAAGAATAAAGGAGATCCCCAACGTTGTGGTAATTATAGAGGTATTAAACTACTCAGTCATACCATGAAGCTATGGGGAAGGGTGATAGAGGCTAGGTTGAGACAGGTTACTACGGTTTCGGAAAACCAATTTGGCTTTATGCCAGGTAGGTCTACTACGGAGGTGATTCATCTACTTCGACGGCTTATGGAGAAATATAGGGAAAAAATAGAGATCTTCACATGGCGTTCATTGACCTTGAGAAGGCGTATGATAGTGTTCCTCGCAATACGATCTGGAAGACCTTGGAAACGAGACGGATCCCAACTGCTTATATCCGGGCGATTCGTGATATGTACTGTCGATCTACTACATATGTCAGGACTACAGTTGGGCACACAGAGGCTTTCCCAGTAGAAATCAGACTCCATCAGGGGTCGGCTCTTAGCCCTTACATCTTCGCCTTGATTATGGACGACATCTATTGTGCGACACCAGACGGTGTTCCATGGTGTATGCTTTTCGCTGACGACATTGTCCTAGTTGCTGAAACAAAAACTGAGTTGAATAGTAGACTGGATAACTGGAAGAAAAAGGTCTAAGGATCAATACTGAAAAGACAGAGTATTTATGTTCAAACTTCAGTGGGAACCAAAACGATGAAGATGTAGACGTATGCATCGAAGGACACGTTCTCCCCTCCAATGATTGTTTCAAGTATCTAGGGTCTATGATACATAAAGATGGGGGTGTAGATGATGATGTAACGCATCGTATAAAGGCGGGATGGCTAAAGTGGAGGGCAGCTACAGTTTTGTGTGACAAGAAGGTGCCTCTAAAACTTAAGGGAAAATTTTATAGAGTTGCAATAAGACCAGCGCTGATGTATGGATCAGAATGTTGGGCAATCAAGAAGGATCACGTAAGGAGGATGGAGGCCGCAGAAATGAGAATGCTTCGATGGACATGTGGTAAGACTCTGTGGGAAATGACTCCAAACTCTGCAATTAGGATGTCCTTGGGGGTGATGCATGTATCCGAAAAATTGAGGGAGGGAAGACTACGGTGGTTTGGGCATGTCCTTAGGAGACAACAGTCAGATGCGGTCAGGAGGGTAGAGTCGATTATAGTCGACGGTGCCAGAAGGAGAGGACGACCAAGGAGGAAGTGGGTAGACTGCTTGAGATCTGATTTGAAGGATTTAGCCCTTACCGATGACATGACTTCTGATAGGAAAGTATGGAGACTTAAGACCAGGGTAGTAGAGTAGTGTGGGTCACAGTCATAGGGTGTAGCATCTCTGCCTTCTTTTTAATGCCTTTATAGTAATTTCTTTGACTTCTACTTTTAATATGTTTCTGTCATGGGAATTTTTGAAGGATTAAAACTAGGATAGCGGAGTAGTGTTGCATTAGTTTAGGTTTTAACCCATTTGACATTTTTCTTTTATCGTAGCTTGCAACAACTGACTTCTGTATATCCTTATCATGTTTCGTCTTTTAAATTTATTTCGGGACTCACATTTTTTTTGTCTATATTCAGAGATTTGTATGCAGGGATTTATTTGCAGGGACAACTTCCCATTACAGACGCGCATATGAAGAGTGCATATGAAGACTGTTTAACTATGTATTTATTTATTTCTTTCTTTAATTATACATGCATTGTATTTTATCTTTATTTTTAAATTTTTCTGACTGCCGGAGGTCTTCCACGGAAGTTGCTCTCAACCTGGCGTTGGGGACAGCCTACTACCTACCTCCCCCTAACCCCATTACATATGTGAATAGGGTTTTGTTGTTGTTGTTGTTGTTGTTGTGTTTGATGCGAACAAAAGCCACTAATTTTTATTAAAAATAAAAGAATACATAAAATTAAAATAAATGTTTACAATTATAAAAGTAAACTAAACACATAATTAAGACATGTTCTATAATCATTGACACAAGAAACTAAAAATTTAGATCATATAAGGAAAAGATTTAAAACTTATCTATAAAACTTTAA